GCGTGGGGGGCGGGGGTTAGCTGCCTAAAGCCGTGCCAGGTGCAGGGTCTGCTGGCTGGGTGCTGGCAGACTTGCACCTGGCACAGGCACCGTAGCCAGCCCGTGCCCCTTTAAGGGCTCCGGGGCCGGGAGGGGGGCAGACGAGTTTCCCTGGTGGTGCCCAGAGTGGCCACCAGGGAAAGCTGGGGAGGGCTAACCTCCCACTAGTTCGAATTAAGTGGCTACACAGCCCTTAATTCGAACTAGTTAATTCGAACTAGGCTTAGTCCTCGTGGAATGAGGTTTACCTAGTTCGAATTAAGCGCTCCGCTAGTTCGAATTAAGTTCGATCTAGCGGTTTGTATGTGTAGCGCCTATCGAAGTTAATTCGAACTAACGTCTGTTAGTTCGAATTAACTTTGTAGTGTAGACATACCCCCAGGCACTATGCTGCAGAGGAAGGCAAAGCAATCCCTGGATTTCTGCCAGTCGGACCCAGTGGAAAATTCCATCCCGAGCCCAAATATTATAAGCTAGGCCCTGAGCGTGGGAGCAAGACCCAGCAGCAATGTATCTGTGCAGTGGGTTCTTCTCTCCACACACAGTCTTTTAAATATTTGAGGCCTTTAAAAAAAAAATGCAGTGGTACATTTTATCCCTTGAAATTTCCATGTGATGTTGACACTTGCTCTGTCCATGTCGCAGAAGGGGAAACTGAGGCACGGTGACAATGGGGGCTAACCCAGGACTCGTGGCTTCCACGCCTCTGCTCTAAACATGTCTTTCGAAGGCATAAAATACATTTCAAGTGGTGGGCAAATTCAAACTTGACCTGCTTAAGTTTAAACATTTTGCCATGTCCACAAAAATGGAATTCTTCATTCTAGCCCCCCTTTCTATGAATGATGTGAAGGTTCTGAGGCTGGTCTTCCCTGACTTGCTACCTGGACTTGCCATCATCAATGAATCACACAGCAGGCCAGCTGATCTATCCCACTCATTAGCACTCAAAGACAAGAGTAGCTATGCCTCCAA